GGAAACTACTGAACATTCTAAATGCCTTGATATGTTCTTGGACTTCGAAGGTATCAGGCAGATCCTGCCCTCAAAAAATGCCCCCAAAAGTTATGGGAAAGGTCTTTATTAAAACATTTCCATCCTGATCTTTCTGACAGTTGGGCATTGCCTCCAACACAGCCTTAACGCAGCAAAACACCAGGTTTGTTCTTAAATCTGTCCCACCGAAGGCTGATCTGTGGAGCTCGGTTTCACTCATATACTCAAAACCTAGTGCCCGGCTGCGCTAGAGCCTAAAGACGGGCTGGTTCCTTTCTCGCCTCTCCTTCTGCTCAAGCAACGCTACCAGGAGGCGGCTGGGGGACGAGATCTGACTGCAGCGCCCCGCAGGAAGGAAGCAGTTAGAGGTGGGATTTCAGAGATGTGATCCCTGCTCTCCAAAGTGCTGCTAAATGTTTTCTTTCCTTTTCCTTGTTTAATTTGTCCGTATCATTCACCTCTTGAACTCCGCTTGATATTTGCCCCCAAAATACTCCTTGCAAGACGTTTGTAGCTTGCGTCCAGGTCTGCTGGAGTCTCATGGGGTTTTCCTTCTGGTCCCTCACCAGAAGAGAGGACAGTTGGGGTACGTCAGAGATGCACTAGGCTCTGCTTGTCTGCAAGCAGGGGATGGAGATTTTTCCCCGTGCTTTGATCTGCGGTATGGCAGCATAATCTGCTGCAGCTGTGGAGCCCAGGCCAGCATACGCACAGAAATCTTGAAAATGGGTTGGGAATTGTTAGCAGACGGAGAGGAATCCAGTGGATATGAAACTGCAGCAGATGGGGGGGATCCCCATTTCCTCCCGTCCTCCTTCCAGCCTCCTGTGCTCACCTGGACCCAGATACCAGTTCTGAAACTAAGTTTACATCTTTAAGAGAACGGCAGCTGACTTCCAAACATGTCAGCAGAAGCCAAATAATTATGGGGCAGTGTGTAAAACCAGAGTCCATCCGAGCACGGAGCGGTCACGTGTGTCAGAGCTTGTCCTGGCTGTGTCTGTGCCCAGCGTTCCACAGCTCTTCACAGCAGGGTTATTTAGCGAGCCGCCGTGGCTTGTTCTCCTTTCAGGGTCCTCCTCAGCAGAGATGAAGCTCTGGAGCATGTAGGTTTTCGTATGCCACATGCTCTTGTTTCTTGGTCCAATTTCATTTGAAAACTGGGAAACTCACGTGTCAGTGTGGGAGTGGAAGTGGACTTGAAGACAGCAGCAGGGTAAAGAAGACTTGAAACGCCCCCTAATTATGAGAGTGGGAGTTTTTTATGCTGAAAAACAGATTTGATATTAAGAGCTTTAAGTGACTTTCCTGTTTGAAAGCTTTATAGTAAACAAAATGTGATTAACTCCCTTAGTGACTCATTGCAGGAGAGATTTTGATTTTCAGTATGGTGCTTTTCTATCATGTACTTGTTTTAATTATCCCTGCTGAATAATAGAGCTTGATAACAGCTTGGGCAAGGGAGGAGGGAAGGTCATCAAGATAGCTGTCCTTTTTTGATATTCCAGCATTCTTGCAGAGCCTTTCTTAGCATCCGTCCTGCCACTGACAGGGCTGCCGGCTGCGGCACATCCTGTGAGATATTATCAACGTATCCTGTAATTTTAGAAAAGGTTCGAGGGGCAGAGCGAGCTGTGGATGGTTCGGGAGGGGGTGATGAAGCCGTGACTGTTGACAGCGAGTCTATCTTGTCCCTGCCTCCCCTGCTCCAGCCCTCGCAGAGTGATGGAGAAGAGAGTGACAGGATCTGCGGAATAACTCCCTAGAAAGTAAAACTGCGGCGCAGCCGCTGGTACCCGGCGCCCCGCTTCCCCATCCCGCACGTCTTGCGCGATGTCACTTTGCATCCATCGTGCTTTTCTCTGGGCCTTTTGGACCAGCTCTGCTTGGGGTTTTTTTTTTTGGTGGCGGTGCTGCTGCTGGTGGGGAAATGTCCCTCTCGTGATGATGCTGGGATGGAGACCTCCCAAGCCAGGGTATTTCTGGGTCTGAGCTGCTGCCGTGGAGCCATCTCAGCCGTGCGTGGAGCCAGCCCCAGCCATTCCCATCGCAACCTGCGTAAGACGACAGCATGCACAGGGTCTGAAGGTGCCTCTTTCCTCCGGGGGCTGCCGGGAGGGCCAGTGCTCAGGCTTCAGTGGAGCTCTCAGGGAGTTTTCCAGGTCTGAAGGCCAGCAGGGGTGTGCAGGGTACCAGCATCCTGCAGGCTGCCCACCACCCTCCGGGGACGGGGTGTGCTCCGCGCTGCCTGGGTGCCCTTTCTCACTCCTGGGTCGTGCAGAGCCGCGTCGGACACCGCCGAAACCTTTGCCTTACTGCTGTTTTCCTTATCGACCGCTTCTGCAAAATAACGAGTACCCTTTACCGTATCTCCTGGTTCTTCCTTGCTGGTTGCGATGGTGTCGATAGGCTCTCTTGCATCTGCAGCATTTGCCTGTGTGAGGTGATGCTTTTCCTGCAGCTGATCGTTGAGGCCGAGCTCGTGGGGCTTGCGCCGTCTGCCTGGCGTTTTCTTCGTGTGTGCAAACGGCCCTGCCAGGGCAGGGGGATGATGGGACTTTCATCCTGCTCCGTGAGATGTGCCATGAGGAGCCTGGGCTTTTCCTGCCTTAACTCTACCAGCTTCTCCAGGTTTGTTCTTGGCTAAAAATTACAGGAGGCAAATTGTCTGAATTCACAGATTTTGAAAATGTTTTCTGTCCTCTTCAGTTAGCATTGGCTTGAAGAATATTTCAATTTTTTTTATGACTAGGAAAAAAAAAAAAAGAAAAATAATTTGGAACAGCAGATGGGTGTCGCTTGAACTCAGCAACGTGCCTGATAACAGATATAATTTGAGGCTGTAAATACCCCCATTGAAGGCTACTGGGGTCACCCCTGTGCACGAAGACATACATGTCTAAACATCATCTGGTAGAAGGCTCAGACTAAGAAAGGTGCCTATTTCCTATTAGTTTACCTGCCAAATAAACTTGTAATTATTTTTGTGGATCTTTGTTTGCTTAAGAAAGTCTATGTTGGGTTAAGCCCAGGGTCCAACTAACTTCTTATATTGTCTGTAATAGCAGCCATTAACAGATGCTTGGGGAGGCATATAAAACATAAAGGGACCTTCTGGGGCAGCTCCTCGCAGCTCCTGGCAGGCAAGTGGTTTAGGGACTTTCCAGGGAGGAGGTTGTGTTCAGAAGTTACCCGGAGCCTGTCCTCTGGGGATGGGTCTAATTCCTTTTGAACACATTTGTACTTTTGGCTCCCATAAAGTAAATGTTTTGCTGTGTGGAAAAGTACGTCTTTTGTTCGTTTCTAAACCAGCTACTCGATCCTTCCTTTATGTCTTTTGTCATTAGAAACAGTCAATAATGGTTCCCAGTTGTCCCCTTCTGTATCAGTCAGGAGTGCCTAGACTCTGCTCTGGGCTCTCTTTGCCGTGCTCAGCAGCCCTGGGCTCTCGGACATCATACAGCCCCTCTACAGCCTTGGGAACGGGGTATTTATTTATGAGGTCTGGGCAGTTTTGAGGGGTCTGTAACTGGAATTTGGAATTTTTCTTGAGCCCCAAACCTGCTAAACTTTGTTTAATGCTGCAAGCAAAGATTTATTTTTTTTTTTTTTTAGTGATTTGGGTGAAACCAAGAGGCCAAGATGTGCAGTAGTGCTGGAGTCTCCTCCTCCTCTGAGCTGTCACATTTTAGCGCTGAAAGGTCACTGGTCTCTTCTTGAAAACCTTCCCTACTGCAAATGTAAAGAAGCTTCAGGATGCTCCTGGTGTAGCCGGCAATGGGTCCTTACAGAAACTCTGTGTTTTTCTACTAAGGCAGGCAGGAACATTATAATAAAGGGCAATGTCAGAGGTAGGCAAGTACCCCCTAATTGTATGCAGATGATAGAGCTGGTTCAACCTTTTGACTAGTGAAGCTTTCCTCAATTTGGGATATTGTGATCCTAATCAGGGACCTTTCCGCCATACATCAAAGCGGTCAGGCTGAACCCGCATACCTTCAGGCTGGCACGGCTTGATTGCAAGGCTTCCTGCGAGCAGGCTCATCCCTGGCCAGGTGTCTTTCCTGCTGTGGACGACTGATTCCTTTCTACTCTTCATCACCGAGGCCAAGAAATTTAATCCCAATATTACTGCCAGCCCTGGAATGGACCCACTGATTTGGAAATTTCACCCTCTTGTTGCCCTGAAATATCAATGCACAGCAACCTCTGATACCTGCTCATTTCACTGCCAACCTCTAACCTGAGGTGGAGCAGACCTGTCATTAGCGCATTCATCTGTGTTTGGATCTGTCAGCTTCCTTCCCCTTCTCCTCTTTTGTTTCTCTAATTACTTTGATTGCATCTCTGTATCCAGCTCAGGGCTGGTGGGGCTGCGGGGTCCCCATCCCAGGCTGTGTCACCGTTTCCTTTCCTGTAGCAGCAGAGATGGAGACAGTCGGGTCTGGATTTTAAAATCATGAGCATGTTCGTATTTAGGTCTGCAGGTAACTGCTCAGTCTGTTATACAGCCACGTCCCAGTGGCAGAGCCTGGTTTTCAGGCTTTTCCCCTGGCTTCTCGATGCTCTGTGCCTCCCTGCCTCCTGCCCAGCCATGCTGGAAGCTGGTGCTGGGAGCACTGGGCTGCTGATAGCCACTCTGCAGAGACTCAGCTGTGGGTGAAGCAGCTTCTAACATCCTTTAAATGACGTGGCATATGCTACAAGTCAAACTTTCAGTAAAGAGGCAGTGGCAGGAGTCATGTTGGAGCTCTCGTTGTGTTGTGTTCCCTCGGGGACAATGACTGGGCCTGGGGTGCGGACGTGCTGTGGGTCTCCGGGCGGTTGTTCCAGCTTCTGCACTTCGCAGCCATTGCAAACTCTTCCTGTAGTTTAACCAGAATGTTTGGCAGCTTGAGATAATACCTTGGCATACAAGATAAAGTAAAATAAAATATTTGTGATGGTGTTTTTTTGTCTTTTTTGTTTTTTTTTCCCAGGGGCTGATTAAAATTCGAGGAGATCGCTGCTGGAGAGAGTTAACTTGCATGGACTATCACTATGAGGTGAGCGATCTGCACATAAAAACCAATTTATCTTGTTTACTTTGGTATAAAAATTTTCTCTAACCTTTTCCCTTCTGCCAGGCAGCTCTCCATGTTTTCTTTCTTTATCGTAGCCCTCTGTCTCTGGCAACGCAGTCAAAGTCCGGGCACCAGCTTGGTGATGCTATTTTTCCCAACCGTAGTCCTAAAAGACCAGTTTCTTCCCCTCCCTCCCCTCCCCATCATGGCCTGATTCAGGAGCAAACCTGTGAGGGCTCCCTCTGTAAAAATGCTACCGGGGAGGAAGAGAAAGGAGTTTTCTGTAGCATTGGGCTGAATGTTTTCTGCTTACGCTTCCAAACCGCGGACATATGCAGACAGAAATAGAGCATCTCGGTTCTCTCCGAGATGCAGAGCACTAATCGTTGGCAATTCAGAATTATACGGCTTTATCTTTTTGACATCTGCTTCAGTGATTACATTGCGTTCTGATTATAAACTGTGGTTTGTATTCTGGCTCCGAGTGTTGTCTCCTCTTTGATTACAGAGCGGGGAGCTCAGCTTCCCTTCTCTTTTTACCTATATTTTTGCATTTGCGTTTTGTATAAACGGCGTTAAAAAAGAAAGGAACTGCTGCGTGCAGCCACGCTCCACTGGGTGAGGAGCCCTGGTTGGATGAGGGAAGCGGTACCGAAGCACTATTCCCTTCTCCAGATTAACGCTGCAGCCGCTGAAAATGTCACGCGGCGTGAGAACGCCTCTGCTCTGCGATCCATGTCCCTCGAACGAGCGGGTGAGCGCGCCGCAACCCTTGGGCCGAGGCTGCAGAGTCTCAGCCGGGTGCGGTTTCGGGTGCCGAGCGCGTCCCACGTTGGGACGACCTGGGTTCCTCTTCGTGCCTCAACCGCGCAGTTGTTTTCAGCCACCGGGGCTGAGCTGTCAGCCCCTGGAGATGTACCTTTGGGGTGACATTCTCAGCAGACCTTCATCACGTCTGGAAACCATTTCCCCCTTCCAATTAAACCTGGCGGAGCCTGACTTCTCTGACCTGCAGAACGTGCTCTAAGGTGTTGCCTATGAGTGACTTCTTACGGGGTAGGCATGCTGAGCAGTGCAAGTGGGGACGCTCGTACGGGACCTCTGTCTTTCCACCCTTGTGTCAAGAGCGCCAGGGACCCCATTGCCAGTCCTGTTACAGGATGGGGATTCCTCTCCCCAAAATAGCAAAGAAAAAAATCTATCCATTTCCCAGGCATTGACGCCTTTATTTTTCACTCCTGTGACCGAGCCAACTGCACGTTTTGAAATGGAGTTTTGCAGGTCTAGAAAGCTGTACCTGCCTTTCCAGCTTGAATGCTTCTTTTTTTTTTGTTATTATAATTTACTTTTAATGGGGTTTCACTGACTGAATGCAGGGGAGGCCCTCTACGAAGGCTGCTGCTCGGTTAGCTCCTGTTGGACTGTGGGTGTCCTGCTTCATTCTGAGTAAAACTTTGGATGCAAAGACCCTTCAGTGCTGTCGTTCTTCATCCTGGACACAAAGGCGGCTGCAGTAAATTGTCCTTCAGTTTTGCTTAGCAGGGCGAGGGCTCTGCTCCGCGTGCCGCCGGGCACCTGGCAGCAGTCTGAGAAAAGCCAGCTCAAAGCGAGCCCCCCAGAATCCCCCGGCCGGCTCCGCTGGTGACCCCGGCCCACAACAGTCAGCCTCCATAATGCCAAATATTTCAAATCAAAACCAGAATCAGTTCTGTAGCCCAGAAGGCTAATTAAGACCATTCCTGTCATATCCATAATGCAGGATCCCCAGCCTGTGCAAGTAATTGGGAACAGGGGCAAGGGGCAGATCACATTATCAATATCAATTATTTTAATCCACACAAAAGAAGCTGCAATAAAAGGAAAATGAAAGAGGCTGAACTTTGTCTACCAGCAATAACAGACAAAGGGCTGCAATTCACCTGCTGATTTCAACCAGCCAGAGGGAGGAAGAAAAGGGTGAAGCTGAAGATACCTCTGTGAGGGAGAGAGGGAGCTGGGAATCTGCTCGTAATTAGGATGATAAAACTGGGTATTGGACCAGCTCGTAAGTGGACCTGGGCCAAACGTAGTCTGCTGTGATGTATGTTGGCCACCCCAGCTCTCCTGTTCCAGTCCTGAACTGCAGTCCAAAATCTACATGGGCTTCTCTGCCAAGAGAATTAATGAAAACACATGGCCTCCATCTCTCGCGTGGTGAGCGCGCCCTGGACTATTTATTTGTAGTAGAACCAGCAGCTATGCTCGTGGAAAATAACATTTCCACTTTTGTCAGGAATCGTGTATGGAATAGTAAAATGTTGTTATGGCTTGGGTAATTAAACGGAGCATATTTTTCCTCCCTCTTTCCTTGCTGATGTGCGGGGCCTTAATCCCAGCCTTTATGGGGATCTGTTCCTCAACTGAAGACCCTCTGTTTAGAGGGCTTACGATCTGTGACGCTGTGTAATTTGGAGAGGGAAATGGCAGAACGCATGGTTTACATAGGAGAGGTATTTTCCTACCAGCCTGACTCTCCCCTGATCCCTGAGGAGTAGATGGGTTCCAGTAAGTGTGGAAGAGAAAGGCAGACACTGATGGAGATGAGAAGACTTTGCTAGACCAGCGTACAGAGCCTGGCACGTGGAAACTGCCTGGATGAGGGGTGGTGGTAGAAACACTCAGCGGATTAATCATGGCTCTGGGTGCCAGGAGTCCCAAACTCTAATCCCAGCTTGGCAAGACACCACGAACAGGGGATTTAACCTCATTCTGCGTTAGTTTCTTTGCTAACGTGGCCAGAGGCTCCGAGGTAGGTGTGTGTGTTTGCACGCTGGTGTGCGTGCAGGTCGGGGCTCCTGATGCCCGTGGTGCCCCGGAGCTTCACGCGTGGCAGTGTCCACATTAGCATGTGAAAATGGACGTGCCTGGGTGGTAACTGGCAGGTGAAGTCCTGGGGTCTGACGTGCCGTGGGCTTTATTTATCGTTTGTTGGGTTTGCCATCCTTACACTGCTGGCTGTGGTTAGGTGGCTTTTTCCCTAATAAGAAATCCCAGCAAAAGGGAGGCTTTTGCTTAGTGGAACCTGTTCCTGATGCAGTTAATGCGGAGGGAAGCTGCTTCTGGGTTTTAGGTCTGTTTGTCATCATGATTATTAAGCATTTATCTACTGTGTACACAATGGTTTACAAATATGCGTGCGGCGGTTTGCAGGCTGGGGCTGGATTTCTGCTTCCACTGGAGCGCATGGCATGGATCCCACGGCGTTCGGCCGCATCCCGCCCGTTGGGGAAGACGGAGGCAGCCTCGGTTCCCTGCTTGTGTGAGCGGGGAGACATGGCTGAGCGTGTCCCCCTGCCTGCTCCAGAGGGCATCCTTCACCCCCATACAGGGTGCAACAGCTCCCTCCCGTTTGCACCAGGGAAAAAGCCTTCTACGGAGGGTTTTGTGCCACTCGAGGCCGTTTCTGGAGCTTGCACAGCTTGCAGGGTGTTGCTGGGGGGCATGGGCTGGAGCAGCTTTCTAACCCCTGTCGGTAGGTACCAGCTCTGCGAGCCAGACGTGGGATCAGGGAGCACCAACTTGCTCCCCAGGGGCCTCTTACCGCTCCCTCCTGTGCCAAGCTTTATCTGGCCCGAGCTTTGCTAATTCTGGGTGTGCTGCTTAGCTGGCACAAGCACAATGTCTTAACATGCTCCAAATGGAGAAAATCCTCTTGTGCAAGACCCGTATTTTAAAACCTCTCCCCCAAACCTGCAGCTCTCCGACCCTCGCGCTTACCCCGCAGAGCACCTTGCGACCATATGTCTTGGCGCGGGGCGGGTTTGAGTGGCACAGGCAGGAGATGAGCGTTTCTGACCCGCAGCGAGGCCAAATGGAGCCCGTGTGTTTGGATGCTGACGGTGGTCTTGGCAGAGCAGTTAAGCGGATAATCGTGGGGGTTTAGAAATGGGAAAGTCCTACGTGGTCACATCTACCGCGTCTCCCCGTATTCCACTGCAGAAGCGCTCCCTGTGGGATGCAATCCAGTGATGCGTTTTTGTGATGGCTGCCAAAGTATTGTTGCTTTTTAATTACAGACAGATATCGTGTAAAATTCAGCCACCAACTGGTAGGAACAGCTGCCGAAGCAGCTGCTCGGGCAGGCGAACGCATGAGGGAGAGTCCCGCGGGGCGTCCTCCTCCTCCGCCAGCTTTGCACCGAAACCGCGCGGGAGCCCTTCGACACATCCAGGGGGTCCCTCGCATCCCGGTGGCCTGTCCTCGGCTGGGCCAGTGCTGGGCGAAGCTCGGCAGAGGTGCGAGCCGTGGCATGCGCCAGGCAAAGAACCTGTGGCCCTTCCTTGCGAATGCAACTCGCGCTGCACGTTTGTTAGTTTTAAGATAATTTTGTTTGAGCGGTGTTTTGAAGGGAATGCCTTTTATCCAGGAGTTTCTCAATGATTTGCATGCTTTGCTGCGGAAAGCCACGCTAGGAAGGCAAACGTACTACTGAGGCAAAGGCGAGGCAGAGGGGTCAAAGGAAAGGAAAACAAAAACCCGCTCCCAAATCAACAAATCTTTGTCCGTGTTGGAAGTAAGGCCCAGGATTTGCTTCCCTGCCGTGGAGTTACCTGTAGGTGCGCAGGGCGGGTTGGTTGTCACGACGCAGGGAAGTTGGAATTTTAACCCAGCCTCCACTTAATACCGGAGTCCCATTTTCGTTCTGAGTTTCTCAGTGCTGCCGAGAAAAGCTTTGTTCTTTGTGAGACGCTGCGCAGCCACAAAGGTCACTTCTTCTGATTTGTACAAATTGTCGCTAATTATTCTGTAACTGTTTTTTCTTAAATAGAGGCTGTCAATCAGTGCTCCAGCTTCTGGCGTACAGCAGCTCTCCGGTTCCTGGAGAAGCTCTCTGGAGCACAATGTCTTTTGTACCTAATTACGGGCTTGCTGACTGATAGCTGTGCTGATAAGGGTGAGAAGGAAGCTCTAACTGCTCTTTAACTGCCTCTTGATTTCTTTTC